AGGGGGGCAGGGGAGTGGTGGGTGTTCCGCAGGGTCACCCTTCTGCAGAGCCCGAGTCCCTGTGCCGAGCAGGTGGGCCTGGGAGAATGGCCCGGGCCTGGAGGGCTCGGGTATATCTGACCTTGCTGGGCTGAGTGTGTCCCACCCCTGATTTAATCTGTGAAGTCCTAGCCCCCCAGGCCCTCAGAATGTGACTGTATTTGGCGATGGGCCTTGAAAGAGGGGATTACGGTTAACTGAGGTCATGAGGGTGGGCCCTGACCCGACCTGGCCGGACATTAGGACGCTGCACACACGGGGACCGCGGGATCGCAGGGACACGGCGGCCCCCAGGGCGGACACACACACCTTTGCTGTGGTTGAAGCCCCTCAGCCTGTTGTCCTTTGTGAGGACGACCCTACTTAACGCGCCGACAACGCAGGGCTTTGGGGGGCTTTCTGACACAGGAGGTAGGCAGAGGCAGTTTGGGGGCGGAAATTCCAGAACCGCACAAACGTTCGGATGGTTTGTGGAGACAGTGGGGACGTGGACGTCACTTCAGAGAGGCTTGCTCGGACCATCCTTCTTAGAAGCAAACGTCCTCGTCGTTCTCCTTCTGCTCCTGACCCAACAGTGGGTTGGAAGCCAGTAGATGGGGATGGGGCCCAGCAAGGCAGGCGGGGTGCGGGGTGGGCTGCCGCAGCCCGGAGTGGGGTGCCGGGGCCTGTGCGGGGTGAGGAGGGGTCTGAGCAGGGGCTCTGGGGGGTCCAAGCAGGGTGAGGAGGACACCTGCGGGGCAGGGCAGTGGGGGCAGCGGGGGTGGGGGGCCAGGTTCCGCTCTGTTGAAGGAAGCAACAGACAGGGAAGGGAAGGCCAGGAGGAATCCCGCGTGGCTGGACTGTAATCGGAGAGGCCGGTGTGAACGCGTGCGTTTCTGCGCGCACAGGCAGAACCGGGCACGCACCATCCGAGCTGCACACCCCGGCCAGTGGGAAGCGCGGGGCCAGAGCGCCCCGTGCTTTGTAGGAGGCTCCGGCAGCTTCTGTGGGCTCAGAGAGGACAGGGCTATTTGCTGCCCCCCCCCCCATTGGTCTCATCCAATCCTTCCCATGACCCTGTGAGTCGGACGGATGGAAGGGCTGCCGTCCCTTGTCCAGACCCACAGAGGATCCTTCCCACTGGGGCTCCCAGCCCCGCACCAGTCAGAGACCGTGTCCTGGGGCCGGAGGCAGAGGGCAAGGGAGTTTGCGTGGTTTGGATTCGGGGACAAGGACCCTTGTGCGGTGGCGCTGAGGGCGGGGAGGGGCCAGTGCTGGAACTGGCGGCCACCTCGCCCCTCTCGGGGTCAACACCGGGATGAAGGAGGGCCGCCTGGGCGGTGGCGGACCCTGTCCCCACTTGCGGCTGCAGGCCCGGTGCATGCGGCGCTGCTGCCATCTCGTGGTCACCCTGGGACACTGCCCTGAGCCCCCGAGACAGGCGGGGGGCGGGGGGGTGGGCTCTGCAAACCACCCACCGTCCGCTGAGCACGCACGGCCACCTGGGGCGGCAGCCCAGGCCCGTGAGTGGCACAAAGGCACGGTCGCAGGAACTGGGCTTGTCCTGGAGGCAGCGAGCGCCCTGGAGAGCTGCGGTCCCTGGAATGACCCGGGAGCCCGAGGGCCGGTGCCCCTGGCGGGGTGTCGGGAGCAGAGGCTGTTCCGGAAGGAAGGGGTTCCCCCGTGCAGTACGTAGGGGGTCCTTTGACGGGGCTGGGCTACTTGTCGTCTCAGTGAATCCTTACCACAGCCCCCCGAAAGAGCAACGGCCACAGTCCGTTTTACAAGCGAGGCAACGCAGGCACAGAGAGGCTACTAATTTGCCTAAGATCACAGAGCTCAGGAGCAGCCCGGCCTGGATCTGCGGTGAGGACGGTTGGCGAGGCTGGGTGCCGACACCGGGCCGAGGGACAGGTAGGGAGGTCAGTGTCGAAGCCCAGGGTGGGGTTCTGGAGGCTCCGGGAAGCCGGGAGGGAGCGCGGCGGGCGCAGGCCCTGCCAGCAGCTCTGGGGTGTGCTTCCCACGGCCCCCAGGGGCCGCCTCCTGGAAGCCCCTTCCCCTGCCAGCGGGCTGGGCTCCATTCCACTTCCCCGTGTCCCTGGCCTGGTGCCACCTTCCGAGGCAGCTGGGCCCAGCAGGAGCGGCTGGTGCCTCATGAATCCTGTCCCACCGCCCCCGTGGCCCCCGCCGGCCGCTGGTCCTCTTTCCTGGGGGGCCGCGCGACTTCCGGCCGCTGCCGAGTGACGGCCCGGAGCCTGGGCCTGGGCCTGGGCCTCAGACACAGCCTGCTGCGGCAGCAGCGGGCTCTTGCGGGGAGGCTGCCCTTGTGGGGGGGGGGGGGGTCCCCCAGTGCTGCCCCCTGCAGGGGGAGCCCAGAGACCTTCCTGCCGGGCCCTGCCACCCGCCCCGGCTCACCTGTCCAGCCTCAGGCCGTCCCTGGCCTCCCAGCCCTGTCGCTGCATCAGTCTCCTTCCTGCATCCAGAGCAGCACGTGGTGCTTTTGTATTTGTCTTTGTTGCCCCCTTCCCTGCTGAGTGACCCACCGGCCTGCCACCAGGCCGGTCACCTCGTGCTCCCAGCGCTTAGAACCACGCCCGGTGTGCAGCCGGCGCTCGGGGGATCCCACACACAGGAAAGAACCAACAACTTGGCCGCTCTAGCCATTAACTGGGCCACGAGCCCCTGGCACCAGCCACAGAAGGTCCCCTGGGCTTCGGGGCCTGGATCCCCATAAAATCACCATTCCCCACAGGGGACCCCTGAAACGGTGCTGTCACTCACCTGGGGGACAGATGAGGGAGGAGGCAGGCAGTGGGGGGTGAGTCGGGCAGGGAGGAAAGGCAGCAGTGCAGAGGACTCTTCCATTACTTAGTGGGTGACTAGGCAAGTCCTTGCTTCCCTGAGCCTCAGTCTCCCCACCTGTAAGCAGCGATCAAAACCGTCGACCACACAGGGCTGTCGTGACTGTGGAAAGGCCCAGGCTCTGCTGAATGAGGTGGGGAGTGCTGGGGGAGCTGCAGGGGAGAGGGAGGGAGGTCAAGCCTGGGGACAGAGGTCTGCGAGCAGCACCAGGATCGTGTGTCCCCCGTGCCCTGCCACGTGAGCGGGCATGCGTCTGTGTGTGTGTGGCCGTCACCGGTCCAGCCAAGCCAGGAGCAGGGGAGTGGTCCTCTATGGTTGCCATAGTACTCTTGTCTGACCCGCAGCTGCCGCCGACCTCGGCCATGCAGGGGCCAGCCGGAGAAGGTTCGTATGCCGCTGGAGGTGAACTTCTCCCCGCACGTGGAATCAGGCACACAGCTCAGCTCAGTGCCCAACGCCGGTGGCCTGCCGTGTTGTTGCTGGCCGCCAGCAAGGAGGGGGCCTCTGGAGACCATGTGCTGGCGCGAGCGCGGACCCAAGGGGGCAGCGGGGCTAGCGACATAAAGCCGTCCGGGGCCATTCGGAGGAGGCCAAAGTCGCCAACACCTGGTCCCCTCGGAGTGCTGGGGCAGGCTAGGATGGAGGGGGTGCTGATGCCCGAGGGGAAGCAGGGAGCAGAAGTGGCCAAGCCAAGCCACTCTGGCTTCCTCCCAGCTGTGAGTCAGAGCAGCCTAGCCAGGGCTGGCAGGGCTCCACACCTTGGCCTGGGGGACACGTGCCCGAGGACTAGCCCGTGTCCAGGAGCCCCTTAACACCTTGTTTAAAACCAGAGCCTTCCCGTTGCCCAAGCTCACGCGCAGCTCAGATGTGCAGGAGGCAGGAGGGCAGCTCGAGTCTGGACCAGCCGAGCCTGGTATGAGTGGATGGCGAGGGCCCAGGGGGCCTCTAGCTCACCGAAGCCATCCGACCAGGCTGATAGCTGGCTGCCCGGGGCAGTGGCATAGCTGCTCCCCCATCGCCCCCAAAAAGAGGTGGTTTAGGTTGGAGAAAGAAATCAGATGTAGGGTGCGGCTGCCACCCGCCTCCAGGCTTGGCTTCTCTGCAAGCTCTGAAGCCTGGCCCAGACAAGGAGACCCCCGCCTCCCCTGCTCAGGGGATGGACAGGCCTAGGGCTGTCCCTGGAGTTCCTTGCCCCACCTCCACCTGGAGGGCTGGCAGGGCCCGGTCTCCTGCTCGCTCAGCTCCAGGCCACCCCTCACATCATAGGTGCTGCCTGCCTGTCACAGATGGGAGCCCGTGGCTGCTCAGAGACAGACCCGGGCCACACCCAGGCCCCTCTGGACCCCGGCATTCTGACTTGTGCTCTCTCCCACAGGCTGACCTTTCAGGCAGGTCAATTGCTCCACCAGAGGGCTGGGCTATGAGGGTCCAGCACACGCCTTAAGCACTGACTCTCGGGGAGCCTGGCGTGGAGATTCCAGACTGGGAAAGGTGGTTCCCCAAGACCTGGAGCTCTCAAGCTGCCATGTTGCATGACCGAATAAGAACGGACACCCTACGCCTGGCCTGCGGCTCAGCTCCCCGAGCTGTGTGCCAAGTCACCCAAACTGAGCCTCCGTGCTGCCATCTGGAAATTGGTGACAAGGTACTGATGCACGAGGAAACGCCCAGTACACGATCAACGACTGCATCTCTGCCGTGTTCTCTGGGCCGGGGCAGCTCACGTGACCCACTGAGTCAGACTCAGCATCTGTAAGATGAGATGCTAACTTTACTTCCCCCGGCGTTTCGTGACACCTCCACGAGCCCACGTGGATGCCCGCACTGTCTACACCTGCTCCCACGTGCTTCTTGTTGCCAGGCAGGAGCTGGCCTGAGGGGCACGGCAGGGTGGAGGTGCCCTTGGGATGGAGGGATGCCACTCAGAGAGCAGTGCGGCCTCCTGGCAGGGCAAATCGTGGCTGACCTGCCCGTACCCGGTGACAGGTGTTGCTGGATGCCCCGTCCTGCTGCTCGTCCTGTACCATCTGCAGGTGCCCGTCTCCTGGACGGCCCCCAGCCCAGCCCAAAGCAGTCCCCGTAAGCCACTTCCCAGCTGGAGATGAACAGAGTCACTAGCAGGGTGCTTTTCTACCTTTAATTGGGGATACAAAAGGCACCTCTCCCAGTACGAGGATCGATCAACAGGTGGGTGGGCCCAGTGCCCGGTGGAGCCCTGCCCGGGAGGAAGAGAGGAAGGTTGCAGGAAAAGGCAGTGGAGGTCGTGGGGGTCACAGGTGCTCCAGGCAGCCCCAGACGCCTCCCCTTTGCGGCCTGGGGAGGTCTCACCCCCACCATATGCAGCTTCGTACCTGGACAGCGTGCAGCTTGGCAGCCCCCTCAACAGCTAGCCAGAGCCCTTGGGCTCCACGAGGCGGGTGCCGGGGAATGGCCCAGGGCCTGTGACAGAAGCTTCTGCTGTCCCCAGCCCCCAGCCGAAGCCTCGGCTGACAGTGTGGGCCCCTCTGGGGATGGGTCCAGGGAGGGGATCACCCAGGGCAAGGAGTCACACCGGGGCGACCAAGCAGTCGGCCTGTCACAGGACCTCCCACTTCTCAGCAAAGTAGTGGTCGGTCGGGGTAGGGAAGGAGGCAGGAGTCGGCCGAGATTCCAACGTGGAACTGACCCGTTACCCCAGTTCATCCAGCTGCCTCTCCACAGCCCAGGCAGCGTGGCCCAGCCACAGCTGGGTCAGCCCATACTTGAGGAGAGAAGGGGATAACAAGCCATCCTCAAAGCAGCCTTAACACCGAACGAGGGAAAGAAGCCCCGGCCAAGAGGTGCGGGAGCAGCAGGGGCTTGAGCTGCAGGCGCCAGGCCCCACGCTCATAAGGCAAACAGCTTGTCCTCATCTTTCTCTTGGGTCTTCTTTCGAGGGGCAGTGCCACGAGGGGGCCCCGGGGGCCCCTCGGCCGAGGGACTGGAGAGGTTAGGCAACCGATCAGCTGCTTTGGCCCGTTCTTCCAGGAACTTGTCAAATTCTAGAGGAACAAGAGAGGGGCTGAGGGTGGGTTCTGCGGCCCCGGGGTGGGGGGAGGAGGGGCAGGGGGCTGGGGCCTTCTACCTTCGCTGGTGACGCCCTTGGGCTCCTCTGCGTCATTCCCCTGAGAATGCAGAAGGAGGCAGAGGTTAGCCAGGGTGGTCCTCCGAGGCAGGCACAGGCTGCTGAACCCCAGTGGGCCAGGCTCAGGCTCTGGCTGGGCCCAGAACCTGAACCTCAGCCCACCCCTTCCTGAGCTGCAGTCTTAGGTTTTGCCTGACTGCTCTGTGCCTCAGTTTCCTGCGTGGCAAAATTGGTTGTCGGGAAGCTAAAATGGAATATTACACAGAACGCCAAGCCCAGTGTGTGGGGTGCCATGGGTCCTCAATAAACACCAGTTCCTTTCCTTCCAGTGTGTAGAGGGTGGACAGACTTCGCCTTGTGGTGGGAAGGGACCCAGAAGCGGAGACCACGCAGGCTAAAGTTGGGTGGGGGTGCCTTGTGCCACCACCCGACATGGACCCTTGCCTGAGCTCAGGCAGAAACACGGTCTTGGCCGCCGGCAAAAGGCAGCCTCTGGGCCTGGGAGCGCTCAGGCCCTTGGTCTTTGCTGCCCAAAGGTGAGGCGGCAGATGCGGGGGAAGGAGCCCTGGACGGGAGGGCTGAGGCTGGTCACCCCTTCTGATCCCTGGGGGCCGTAGGGCTCTGCAGACAGCCTGGGCCCCTGCTTCCTCCTGGGCTCAGCAGGCCTCCTGGCTGCTCATCAGCCTCCTGATCTGTAAGATGGGGCTGCCGGTGGTTTCTCTCGGACAGGTGCTGGAGGGCTCCCCAGGCTGGTGCAGGCGCAGGGCGCAGCGTGCTCACGGTTACCCTCAGCCTGGCCTGCCTTCCCTCCAGCCTGCCGAGACTCCCGGGGACGCACAGTGGTGGCAGGCTCAGAAAGGGTCCGCTCCAGCAGCTGTGAGGCATGCAGGGCCCAGGCCCTCCGCTGAAGGGAGTGCCCACCAGAGGGCGGTGGGAGGTGTCCCACGCTGATGCTCCCCTCCCCACCAGCTGTTCGCCCTGCCCCGTGACAGTTACTTCCTCGTGAGACTAACGGGAGCGAACGGGAGCCCGCGGTCAGCTGGGTGAGGAATATGCCTGAGCCTCCGTTCCTGGGCTGGGCGGGCCCTGGCTTACCACGTCCGTGGACAGCCACTGCTCGATGTCCTCCATGAGGCAGGCCTGGGTGACAGGGATCTGGAAGGAAGGGCAGAGGGTGAGGCAGTGAGGGGCAGAGCACTGGGCGCCAAGATGGAAGGCCTCAGCAGCTTGGAGCCCACTGGCTGGCCGGCTTACAGCTGTCACCCCCCCCCGCCCATGACATGGGGCCACACATACCACACACCCTTCTGGGGAGGTCAAGATCCTGGTAACCCCTCTACCATGGCTCCTGCCAGCTCCCTCCCCTGCTGGGCTGGGCTGTGGGCAAGGGGGCTACAGGGCCACTAGGCTAGGCAGGGCGCAGGAAGGGGGCTCCTAACAGCTGGAGCACGGACATGAGGAAAGAACGGAACCCCCCCCCTGCTGCCTCATGCCAAGGGCGCTGAGGAGGTGCCGGGCATCAGGGCCGGGCCTAAGCACAGCTGCTCAGGAGCAGCTGATGGAAGAGTATCTGAAGCCCGGGGAGGGGCCGGCCATCAGGGGTGGGGTAGGAACGGCTGCGGGGCTGGAGCAGCCAGCCTCTGTCCCCGCGGCCCCTCTGCAGACTCAGAGCTCCCGTGTGAAGGGGCGGAGAAGCACCAGAGCGCAGGGATGCGCCCAGACGACCAGACCAGGCCAGGCTGGTGCACTCAGGTGCTGTGGCTACTCACGGGGCCTTTCGCTTTGTGCTGCCGACGCACGGGCTCTGCCACGAGGCTTGCACACAGCGGCGGGGGGCTTCCGTCTACACTGGGAGAACCCAGTGGGGGGGGGGTTTGGGGACAGAGTCAGAGACCGCAGTCTGGCTCGGTCCGTGACGCGGAACCTACCGGCCAGGCCGCTGCGGGGATGAAAGGAGGCGATGGAGAGAAGGGCTCGCACAGAGGGGGTGCTCGAGAAGCCCTAGTTACGATTCACCTCCTTCAGGCAAGAGAGGGAGACTGACAGTCTTTCCCCAGCCAGGCGGGCTCTGTCCCCGGCACCCGAGGAGAGCCCGGAGCGGAGCCGAAGCCCCCTGCCCAGCAGTGGCAGCGGCGGCACGTGCTCTGGGCTGCCCACACCAGCCCCCTCTCCCCCTCAGCTCTCTGCTGCCACTCAGCCCAGAACCGGCGAGCCCCAGTCACCTCCCGGCTGCCAGACGGGCCACCTGGGCCTGGCTTCCGAGGCAGGAGCCGGAAGTGGGCACCGAGGGGCCGTGGAAGCAGGAGCAGAGGGCGTGGGACGGTGCTGATGCTGGGTGGGGGGGCACCCACAGCACCCCTTGTTCTTCTCTGCGTCTCACGGTCCTGCCCCCGCCAACGGCACCACTGGGTGGGAGCCCTGCTAGTGGCAGCCTCCGCTCTCTGGGCTGGCCGGCCTGGCCTCTCCTCACCATGCCTTGTCTCCTCATCCAGGCACTGAGGCTCTTCTCACTGCTGCCTCCCATCTGGGTGAGGAAAGGTCACACCGAGGGTGGTGGGAAGGGCAGGGCCAGGGCCGCTGGTTGGCAGCCTTCTCCACCACGGACGCTCCTCTCAGGTCGGCAGGCCGATCGCTGCCTTAGGAGGCCGTGCGCGCAAGTGTCTGGGTGTGGGCGTGCACGTGCCTACGCACACCTGTGCAGCTGCTGGGGCTGTGGGGGCAGTTGGGGGGGGGACCGGAAGCAGCAGAGGGTGGCTCACTGTGGGATGAACCACAACGGCCCTGGGACCCCAGGGTCCTGAACACGCTGGGCAAAGCTTCTCCTCCCTTTCCAGAACGATCCTGGGGGCGGGCCTGTGCAAGCCCAGAAGGGCGGAGTAAGCAGCTGTCAGCCCCTCTGGTGGCTCTGCAGCGATGCTGATGGGTGTCCCAGGATTAGAACACGGGCTTACCCAGTCCCCTCATGCGTATCGATGGGCAACCGGGATTCTCGAGAACCCCAGAGATGACTGGTGCAGAGACAGGCTAGAGTCCTGCCTCCCCGGCCCTGGACAGACCGGCCTGGAGCCAGGCACTCGCTGTCCAACACCCCCGCGACTTGTGGAGCCTGGGGGCAAACCCTGGCTGCCCCCAGAGCTGGAACTGGACGCCACCCTGCACCTGGCTGCTTGGAATCACAGCCTGACAGCTTGGTGGGAGAAAGCCTTACCAGCACCCAGCCAGACGTACCCACGTCGGGAGCAGGTGTGTAGGGACAGTTTTAAGAACACCATACCCTGATCTAATGGAAGCCGCTTAAATCTCTCGAGGGATCAGAGAGGAATAAGCAATCATTTAGCAGCTTCTGCTCTTGTGCAAGTGGAGCTGTGTGTACGTGACCTCTTTGGGGCCGTGAGGCCGTGTTGGAGCTAGGAGATCTGGGCTCTAGTTCTTGTCATGCCCCCGACACGTGTGCCCCTGAGTCGCTGTGTGCCCTGGGCCAGTGACATCTGTCCTGGGCAGCAGCTCCTTCATCTGCAACTGGAAGGGGGTGGCTACGGAGTTAGCCTCTGCGCATGAGAGGCCAGGTGGCCCGAGAGGGAAGAGCTTCTAACAGGCTTCCAGAGTGTTTGGATTCATCTGGATTCCGGGCGCCAGATTTTTTGGAGTGTTCCCCCCTGTTCCTTAGAACTCTGCAGGCCATCTGGGGCTCTTACTACCAGCTCCAGCCATGGAGCCAGAAAGACCAACGGCTGTGAGATCTTGGCAAAGGACCTCGCCATGCTAAGCCTCGGTTTTCCCATCCGTAGGTGGGGGTAACCACCCAGCAGCGCTGGGAAGATCAAACGCCTCCCTACGTGCCAGGTACCACGCTAAAAATGTTACACCTGCTGCCTCCCCTGGCCTGTCTCTGGATCTCAGTTTTCTCACCTGTCAAAGGGGATAATAACACACCCTAAGGGTTTGTGTGAGGACTCAGAAAGGGGGATACGTAGAGGGTCTGGCACAGGGCACAGGCTGGACAGATGACCGCTTACAAAGGAAAATCACGGAGGCTCTGAGACACGGGTGTGAATGCGCTCTGCTTGGAGCCAGCCACACAGCACGCTCGGGGGACGTGTCACGTTCTAGCTGCTCCTGCCTCCACAGAGTACCACGTCTTGCTCTGCTCTCACTTGGGAAGGCCTCCTGAGACGCTGGGGACGCCTTTGGTGAGTCTCTGGGACGCCCCACCCACTGGCATACTGGGCAGCTTCCGCCTCCTAGCTGCTCTCCCAGCCTCCCACGCTGGATCCTTCTAAAATGGACAGATAAACCTTCCCTCTGCTCAAGACTGACCATGGCCTCCACCTCACACAGTGCTCCTGGCTGCCAGAGGCCCTCTGGTCCCTGCTGCCTCTCAGGCTCTGTCTCCCGTCACCTAGTCCCACCCTGGCCTCAGAAACCTGTGCTGTGCCCGGGCCTCTCCTCTGCCAGCCCTTCACCCCTGCCTCTCCGATTCCTGGGCCCTGCCGTTTCTAGCTGCCTCCCAAGAAGCCACTCTGTCCACTTACTGGAATAGGAACTCTCGCCGCCCCAAAGGCATCCAGAGACAAATTCAAAGGGACGAGAACCGGACTTGGAGTTCTTGCCAAGGGGGAGGGGCCACCCAGAGAGCGCGCTCAGTGCCGGGCACGTGGCTCTCACTCTGTACGTGGCCAAGCACTTCGAGGGAACTAAAATGGTGCCCCTGGATGCCTCCCTGCAGTTTTAGGGTCTGTCCTCTGGTCCTCTGTGTCCACATTCCTGCCAATAGCGGGGCTCTAGAGAGGCGGTGAGGTAGAGTGTTGACGGAGCTCAAACTCTGCCAAGCACCTTACACACTCCCTGTCACACATCCTTCTGTAAGCCACCGTACAGGTTAGCCGCGTGCCTCAGGATACACAGCCAGCAAGCCATGGCGCTGGGACGGGAACCCAGGCTGTGGGAGTCCAGCTTCCCGGCCCAGACCCAGGTGCATCCGAGTCCTTGCTCCAACCCTTCCTTGCTGGGTGAACTTGGGCAGATGACTTAACCTCTCGGAGCGTTGCCTCCGCTGCGTGATGGCAATTACCACATAAGCGGCAAAGGGCCCAGCACACGGGGCAGGGACACCGGTGGGCAAGCATTCCTTGGCTTCCCTTCTGGAAAAAGTGGCCGCAGGACCCTCTGCTTACCGCTCCAGTGTTCTGCTGTCGGGCATCCAGGGCTCCCGCCAGACTATCTGCTGCTTGGGGGGCTTCGTATTTCACCCTGAAACACAGAAGCCACCGCCACCATGAACGCTGCCCTTGCTGTTCCAGGTATGGCGGGATCCAGCTGGGGCCTAAGGGAGGGACTCCGAAGCAGGACAAAGCAAAGAGGAAGTCGACGCTAGGGCACTCTCCTCTCTGTGGGCTGTCTTCTGCTGTGCTGGAAGCCAGTCCCCAGGGAGGGCGTGCAGGAGAACCCATGACCCGAGGACGTACAGGATGTGCCCTCCCCCCAGCATCTCATGCTCTCCTTGCCTCGGAGCCTTTGCACACACTGTTCCTATAGCCTGAAACGGCCTTCCTGCCTCTCATCCCCGAGGTCCAGCCCTGAGCACCCTCTGCAGAGTTGCCAGCCACCACGCATGCGTCCACAGTGCTTGGCACGCCCCTCCAGGACAGCGGTTAGCACTGCACGGTCTCCCCATGAGACCGCGGGCTCTGGAGAGCAGGCGCCGGGTATGCTTTTCTCTGCCCCACCCAGGGCCCTGCTTCCGAAAGGAGCGATGGCACAACAGCGAGCCTCAGCCAGGCTTGGTGGGCCAGGCCAAGTGCCAGGGGCTCTCTGGCACGGCCCGTGTGCTGCCTGCTGGGGCCTGGCGGGCGGGCCACCCTCCTGGCTGCAAATCCCACTGGACTCATTAGCTTCCACCCACACAGCGGCCTCACAGTGCCCCAAACTCCATGGCAACCGTGAGCTGCTGGTCCCTGAGCACCGGAGCTTGGGAGTGCAGACTGCTCAGACTAAGGACGCAGCTCATAGCCCAGGCTGCCTCTGGTCAGTGGGCAGGGCTGAGCAACCTCACCGAGCCAGGCCAGCCTCTCAGATCTGACCTGGCTGTGGTGTGCAGAGGGCATCCCTGGGCCCTCGGAGGCCCACTGACAGTTCCCAAAGACAGGGCAAGGTGGGGAGGCCAAAGGTCATTCAAATGACCAGAATGACCACTGGGGAGCCACGGGCAACTGCTGAGGGGATCCCTTAATCCAGAGCTTCCCTTGGCTGTAAATCCGGGCTGCCCAGAACTCAGTCCTGGGTCCTGAGCAAAGGGCTGAGAATACCAAGCAAACTGCTTCCCCTGACAAGCCTGTATGGGGCCAGTCTTGAGAAGCTGAGGCAAGGGGCTGGTCTGGGCTGCTGAAAGCACCTCCCTGAAAACACTGTCCCCAGGAAAGGACAGAACCCCAGCTCTGGTGCAGAGGGGTCAGATCTGAGTAGAGCAACAGGGACCTCTGGGGGAAAATTAAGGGTGGCGAGTGATCACAAGAAATGACAAGTCCCTGAGGTTTTATCAGGGATCTTCCCTGCCTGCCTTGGAGGGCTTGGTGTGTGGCCTACAGTGTAGTGGGGAGGTGGGTCGGGCTGGAGACGGTTCTGGAACCAGCAGCCTTGGGCTCTCAACCTAGTGCTGCCACGTATCAACGGCCTGACTTGGGGCAAATGACCCAGCCCCTCAATGCCAAGGCTTCCTCCTCTGATCAGATCATGTAAGACTCTGGCACACAGTTGCTCATCAAACCACAGGGGTCCCTTCCCCCTCCCAGGCCTGCCTGTGGGGCATGAAGTCTACCTCTTGGCCACAGGGCTGTCCGGGCCACGAGGACTGATCTAGGGAGTAGGAACTCTGCCGTCCTGAGGGGTACAGGCAGGGGGCTGTGTGTCCTTCCACGTGGCGTGCCAAACAACTGGGTTCAGGGGCCCAGAGAGGCTCTGCCCTGACAGAAGGCAGCCCAAACTGTGGAGGATGGGGTGGGGCGGGGGCAGGCCACTCACTCTTTCCGTTGGTCAGCCAGAGAGCTGCCCCGGGTCAGCGCAAACATGTCAAACTCGCCTTCCAGTTGGCCAGAGGCCTCCAGAGACTGCAGGCCAGCCCTCACGCTGCTGGAGCCCAGGTCTGCAAGGACAGAAAGGCACGTGAAGGGCCCGCCACCTATTCCTGCACACTGAGCAGGGGCTGAGCTGCCAGGCCCAGGGATGATTCTGGAGAAGCAGCGGGGTGGGGGGTGGGGACGGTGCGGGCGTAGGAGGGGGCAGGCCGCCTGCTGGCTGAGGGACCGTGGGCACGTGACTTGCTCTCCCTAAGGAGGAGACCCAGGCCCCCTCCCAGGGCAGCTGTGCGGACAGCAGGTAAAACGCGGCCCAGCGCATCTGGCGCAGTACATGGCTGAGCAGGGGGCGGGAGGTGAGACGTGCGGCTGAGTTTTCAAACAGCCTAGCAGCAGTGCTTCTGGGCTCTTGACTACTTCCTAGGGCTTGGCACAAGCACGCAGCCAGCTGTAGGGACACTAGTCGCAGCGATGGTGATGGCGACTGCTGGCGTGCTGGGGGCACGCACCCCGGGCCCGGCGCCGGTCTAAGCCCCCTTTGCGCGTGTGCTTACCCGGTCCTCACGGCGACCCTGCCTGTTACACGGCAGCGAGAGGGACACAGGGCGTTCAAGTGACTGACTAGCCCAAGCTCGCCCGGATGGCTTGGGCCACAGAGAATTCAGTGTTGAGGGGCGACCACAGAGCACTGGGCTTCTGAGGTCCGAGGGCGCTCGGGAGTTGGCGGGCTGGGGGGGAGAGCTCCACGTGTTGGGTCCTGGGCACCCAACCTTGCAGTGGGGGTCCGGCCCAGCGAGGTGAGGTCTGGGCCGACCTTCTGCTGCTGGCACTCCAGCTCCAACAGTCTAACAGGAGGGCACCCCCAAACTGCAGGGGTGCCCACAGCACCATAATGTGCCCTCGGCCAGAACCCCCCACACGGCACTTACTCATTCCCGCCAGCTGGGACGAGAGGCTGCCGGTGGCCGCCTGGTCAGGGCCCATGTCGATCAGGTCAGCTGCCACCTCGACCTCTCGTGGGGCCTGGGGAGAAGGGAGATGCCACCGTTGCTCGAGGATGTGCCACGAGGGCCCCAGCAGCTACGACTGGCAATCAGCCCCACTCTGCCTCTAGCTCAGCAGCACCCCTGGGAGGCTGGGAAGACCCTGGGGCATCAGCTGGTGGCAGAGCCTTAGTTACCTTAAAGGAACAGTGACAGAAAAAGTGAGAAGGGGACTTCTCTCTGGGCCTGGATAAGAAGGCACATCCTATGCAGGATGTCCAGGGAGGGAGGTGAGCACAGCCCTCCTCTTCCTTCCCATCAACACGGGCATGATCTGGTCCCAGAAAAGCGCCTTTACCTTGCCGGTCTGGCCTGTTCGGAACCGTTCAAACCTACGAAGACAGAAACAAGGCGGGTCAGAGAGACAGAGAGGCCCCTCAGCACAGCCCAGCTCTTCACGCTGCTGGCCACCAAATCCACGGCAGTGAGTCACGATTAGGGGGACCGATCCAATTTATGCCGGCTGTCCCCAGGGAACTGTTAACAACAGTGCCCCTTGTTCACTTGCCAGACTGTCCCTCTTTGAATGATCAATCATCTGGCCCCTTGTCATGACCAGCAGTAAACGAACCAACAGGAATAGGCTAGAAAAGAGGAAAATGGGGATGCACAGCACATGGCAAAGCTGAGTGCTGTTTTATCAAACATGTTCGGGGATTCGCTTACACACGTGTTCCTGTGTCACTGGCTCTCCGAAGTGGTGTCGGAAGACACGCATCTCTTATGCTGCTTCCTGGAGCCACTGGGACTAGCCTCCAGGCTGCCGAGGTGGCTGCAGAAGGCCGTGGTCTGCTGAGGCCTGGCCCTGTCACTTACTGAGTGACCGTGGGTACGTCCCTTCTGAACCTCAGCCTCCTCGTCTATTACAAGGGGACAGCGGAAGCTCCCTCCCAGATGTGAGGATCCAGCGAAGACCCTGACTTTAGGTAGGACCGTGAACTAGGAGGCAGCAGCCATATGTCAGGCCTGACGCCTGTGCGTGTCAAGGGGCCCTAGTCATCCCCAGATCGGGCCCTTGGGCCACCTCAGCCTACACCTCAGAATGGCAGAAAGTGACTCTTCTATTCCACTGGGCCAGGGAGCAGGAAGGGCTGGGCAGACGTGGCCCCCAGCAGGCCACCCCCCCCTTCCCCTACTCTCCACTGACTCAGAATCACTCGGGGTCTGTTGCTGCAGAAAGACAGGAAATGAACGAAGGCTGGAGAAGGCTGGATAACTGTGTCTTGACCCAGACATCCCTGGTTGCTAAGTGCTTACAGGTATCACTGCGCGGACTCTTCGTCACCCCACGGGGCAGATACAGAGAGCCCGGCATCCCCTTCTCCCTTCTTTGGTAATAGCACCCGAGTGCCGTCTGGGGAGCAGCTCTTCCCCCATTTCCTAGGGTCCTGGTACAACCACCTGCAAGGGGCCCTCTTCCCTTCGCCAACTGGTGGGTACAACAAAGCTGAGCAAATCCATTTCTCCTGGGGAGCTGACTCTTGAACAGAATGACAGAAAGTGGGCAAGTGTCTGGGGCCCATTTCCTGATGGCCACACCCTAGGAACATGGTCCGGGAGTTTCTGCCCTGAGACCTCCAAGCCAGCCTGGGATCTCTCTTTCCCGCTCTGCTGGTGGGACTCGCTGTTTGACTCTTCTTTGGACTCTGAAAGCTCTCCTGTCCGTAAAGGCTATTCTCCTCATGAACTCTTTTTCCTGCTTAAGTGAGTTCGTGTAGCGTGCAAAGAGCCAAAGTCAAGTACGTAGCGGGCCCATGGCAAGGACAGAGCAGCCCGCGCGCAGGGACGCAGCGGCAGGGCACGCTCCGGCCTGGACAGCAGCGGTGGCAGGCTGCGTGGAGCTCATGCCCACCGGGGAGGGAGAGAGCTGACGGCACGCATGTCTGCGAGGGCGGCGGGAGGAGGCCAGACGGTGCAGACAGGCAGGCCGGGGGGGAGCGGGCTGGGGCACTGCCAGCCAGAGGCCGGGGGAGGTGGCGGGCTACCGTTCATGGCGCAGGAACACATTGTTGAGGTTGTCATTGACGATGAGCAGCTCCTCGGTGAGCTGCTCATTGGCGATTCGGGGGATGAGCTCCAGGACCCGCTGCTGCATGGCTCGGCACGTCCGGTTGAGCTCCTGCGGAGGGAGAGGGAGGGATGGCCTCAGCCCCTGGGCCCAGAACGCGGCCGTCGCCGGGGGCCGGGCCCCACAAACGCGCTTCTGGATCCCGCCGCCAGTGTCCTACGCCAACAATGAGCACAGGGGAGACAAGCTACAGGCGAGACGGTGCGTGCAGACTTCCCGCTGCCGCCTTTGCTCGGGTGAAAACCAACAGTGCCAGTGGTCGGTGGGACACACCGCAACTTTTCTGGGTGATTGGGATCTTTTTGTAACCGAGACATAAAAACACCAAACCAGACCTCTCCAGCTATTATCTGCAAACCCTGATTTTGAATTTTCCCTAATTTTTTTAAAAAAGATTTTATTTATTTGAGAGAGAGAGAGAGCATGCACGTGTGTGCAGGAGCCAGAACACGAGCTGTGGGGAGGGCAGAGGCAGAGGGAGAAGCAGACTCCCAGCGGAGCATGGAGCCCAACACGGGGCTCGATCCCAGGACCCTGAGATCATGACCTGAGCCGAAGGCAGGCGCTTAACTGACTGAGCCACCCAGGTACCCCTTCCCTAATTTCTTTTTAAATACTTTTTACTTTGGACTAATTTTAGATTTGCAAAAAAGTGGCCAAGATAGTAGAGCTCTCCACTCAGCTTCTCCTCAGGTTGGCGTTTGTCAAGACGAAGACATTAATACCGACCCAATGCTACGAACTCAACTCCAGGCTTTCTTCAGTCTCGCTGTTCTCCGACTAATGTCCTTCTGCTCCAGGATCCCACACTGCACTCAGTCGCCGTGTCACGGACTGACTTTTAATTGGTAAATTATATATTTAAACTCTCTTTGGGAAAGAGAAAAAAACTAAACGCCACAGCTGTGTAAGTTTTTCATTTGTAAGACTGACTCTTTCTTCAGGTACCAGCCACTAGGCGGCCGGGTGCCTGGGTCACGGTCTCAAGGTGCAAGGAAGCGGTCGGCTCTTTTCTCCCACAAGCACCGTGAAGACCAGACGCTGCCCCACTACTGACTTCGGTTCTCTTTTGGACCGTTACCCCCCCCCCTCCTAGAATTTCCTCATCTGCCTTTATTGTGGGGCAGGGCGGGCCCGAGTGACTTTCAACACCCTATGGGCCTCCCTTCTCTCCCTCCTGTGACCAAGCACACTTGTGGCTTTGTCCCCACTTCCTCACCCTCCCCGGAGCAGAAGAGCAGTGGCCGGACCCAGGCTCCTGGGTTCGAATTCTAGCTCTGCTGCTTACCAGCCATGTGACCCCGGGCACATTACGTGCCCTCTCTTCGCCTCAGTTTGCTGACCTGGGCAACGGGGATGATGACAGTACCTACCTCCTGTGCGGGGGTGGTGAAGATTAGGTGAATGACTGTACATCAAGTGTCTACATCAGAGCCCGGTGCACGGGAAGTGCTCATTACTTGTGAGCTGTCACCATGAAAACGTAATCACTCACACCTGGTGGCTCCTGGGCCTTAGGGTCCCCCAGCTTTCTTGGTAGCGCTATGAACTGACCTCCACAGGTAGGGTAGGGCCTTCAGTGGTCCCCAGCTGGGGATGGGACGGTGGGAATACTGTGTGACACGTGGAGCGAAAACCCGTGGCTCCCACCGGCCCCGGGGGCCCGAGACCAGCTGCCCTCTCCTCCCCAAGCTGGTGCTGCTCTCACACCAGCCTGCTAAGCTCCGTACTCTGAAAGGGGGAAATCAGAACAATCTTACAGATGAGGATACTGAGGCAAGAGAAGCTATTCTGTTCAAACCAGAAAATGCTAGAGCCCTGAATTCCAATGCAATGGAGCCCAAAGTCTCTGCCCGGTTTCAATCTCTCCCACTGTGACCACGAAGTTCTGAGTAAGCCGTGAGAACTGTAGCGCGGCTGGGAAAGAAATGTGTGTGGGCAAATGCTGGAGAAGTCACCTGGGGGCGGAAGGGTGCCTGCTCACCTGTAGCAGCTCCAGGTCTGCAGGCTCTGCCTGGGTGGGCACCAGCTCCGTCAGCATCTCCGACATCACCCTCACGTTCCCACTCACCATCTCGAGCTCGCTGCGCAGCTTCGCGATCTGAAATACACCGGCGGCCCTGGTGAGCTAAGCCAGGGGTCCAGAGCCACTGTCGCTAGCGAGGAGAGCCTGGCACCATGAGCTGGGGTGGGGTGGGGGGGTACCCAGAGGAGCCGACCTGCCAGTACGCTCTAGGCTCTTGAGCCACAGTCCTCGGTGGGTTGCCCCCACCACCCTGAGACCCCCTTACAGAGGTGCTACCAACCGTTTCCATCTCCAAACCGGGGAGCCTGGTTCAGGGAAGGCCAAAAGCAGCGGAGCTGAGAGTAAATGCACACAGAGTACGGCTGGAGGCCGCCAGCATTCCCTGGGCCCCAGGCAGCAGCTAACAAGGCCCTGGAGGGCAGTTCCCTGCCACGGGGAGAGGGGACAATCAGCAGGCCTGCTTCCCTCCCTAGGGTGACAGGATCTCACTCTGTCTCCTAGGACAGCAGGATTTTACTCCCCCGTCCTGTCCTGTGAGGACGGGATTTTGTCTTGCTCCTGGCCTACTCCTCCTGGTCTGTTTCGGTGTCCCGGGCTCTTCCAAGCAGGAGTCCCCGTGCCACCCGCCCTCTTGAGTATGACACTGAGATTTAGCACTGGTTAAAAAGACGGTAGCAGGTTTTCAGAGACCCAAGGGTTCCAAGGTCTTGGCTTGGGGAATCAGTGTAAATCAAGTTGCAGAGTCTCCACACAGGGGAGGTGGTGAAGGGTCTTATGCTGTGGGGCTCTGTGGGGAGTGAGGTCTCCTCAGGAGCACTATGGACACTGTGAATGTCCAGGAAGCAATCAGTATGGAAGTTCTGAAATTAATCTGGACGAAGAACCCTTTGCCATGGAATACCGCATGGGTCTAGGATTAAGTGGCCTACATTTTGAGAAATGCATGTGACCCCGCTGATTCCAGAACAGGAGTGTCACTAGATAAATTCGCGATGCCTGTGCGAGCCGCGACCATTCACTGACCGCCTACTAAGTGCCAAGCATTTAACTTTTATTGCTAACTAAACTTCACCCCAGTCTTAGGAGGCACATATCGTTATCCCAGCCTCTGCAGGTAAAGAAATGGGGGTGCAGACACTGCGGCTCACGGACACCTTCCAAACCCCGCAAAATGTTTGGTGTGTTTGGCCTATCTAATGAACGCTCTCGGTATACATAAGTGGAAAGACTACTGACCACAAGCCCAGTGTGTCTGGGTCAGATGGGACCTAATTACAACGGAGTCTGGGAGTGATATCACTGCATGCCTGAAAGCCTTAACATGCCCCAGGAGACAAAAGGGGAGCTGGACATTAACTCCTACTCAGTTGGGTTTTGCAAACTGAGCATGCACTGGATGTAATCAGTCTTAATCCACGCAGATGCTAGACTTCAGGCAAATTGGTTAAAATCATAACCTGGTGACATAAAAGTTAGATCACAGGGTGATTTTACAATTTTTATATACCTTTAATTGTCTGTCCGGTCAGGAAAACTTTTCTAGTAATACTTGTGAGTCTGGGAGGTGATTTTATAACTTGCTATAAGGTATCAAATACGGAAGTCTCTCTTCAGATAGGCTGGGGTGGGAAGGGCTGCTGGGAGGCTTGTTCATAAATCCAAATGAGACAGTGCAGATCAGCAGGTGCGCTTTGGAAGGTCAAGTTTCACTTTGTTTCTGTCACACACCTGTGTCTCTCTCCCAAGTACCTTTAGCAGCTGAGCTTTCACACTTAGCGGGTATGATGGCTCTGAAGTTCTTAACACGCCTCAAAAGTGGGCACCCCAACCACGCAAGGCCTCCACCTGCATCCCAACAGCCACGGCTAAAATGAGAGCGCACTAGGGTGCTGAGCGTGCAATTCTTGATCTCAGGGTTGTGAGTTCGAGCCCCGTGTTGGGTGTAGAGATAGATAGATAGATAGATAAATAAATAAATAAATAAAATGAGCACACACCCAGCGCACGCTGGCCATGGCAGCAGACACCCCTTGTTGGGGTGAGCAGTCTCAGCAGGTGGCCTTGCCCCCCTGTTCCCGGTGGAGGAAAATGAGGGACAGAAGCTACGTCAGTGGCCGTGAGTCTCTGGTGGGTAAGCCTGCAAAGGTACTCACAGAGCCCTAGACTCCGGCCCCTGGAATCTCACACTACACCTCAAACCTTCTTCTTGGGGCTTGGTGGGAAGCATCATGGTGCAAAGGAAGGGTTTAAAAATTTTTATGTGTGCAGATGGTTTAAAACTGTTTTTAGCCAGAACCTCTGTTCAAATGGAATCTTATTTGAGCACATAAACAAACCCCAAAAGAAAATGGAGATGCTGTTGTTGAGGAGGCCGCCTGCTGGGCACTCCCCACCCCCACCCCCTCAGGGGTCCTGCCTGAAGGGCTCCGCGCACAACACAGCTTGGCAAAGGGCTGGCCTGGCCGAGGTGCAGGACAGAGCCTGCTGGGAGTCAGGCAGACCTGAGCTTGAGTCCCACCACCATCTCTGATGAGCTGTGTGTGGCTCTGGGCAAGTGAGTTTATGTAAGCCTCATCTTTGAAACATGGGGCTGCTATGAGGACAGTACTTTTCAGACTGAGAGGGGCGCTCCCTGACCCGTGTGGCTCTCACTCAGGCTTGTTTACCTGCTCAGGGGTGGGTGTGATGGGTGTGTCACTGGGGAGTGTGGCCGGCACAGGCAGAGGGGTGGTGTGCGGGGTGGAGTCTCCTCCATGGCTGGCGTCCGTGCCCACTGAATTCGGCCCTGATGGCGCCTCTGAGCTGAACACGGTCTAGACGGTGGAAAACGGGATCAGTGAGGCCTGTAAGGGAGGAGGCAGCTCCCCCACCCCCGGCTCCCCTTCCCACTGCCCCCACCGGCTGTGTCTCCTCACCCTCTGGGGCGTGTGGATGGGTGACAGCATGTCCAAGTCGGTCATCGGGAATTCGAGGCCCTTCCTCCGCAGGTCCTCATAGACGGCCACCACACCTGTCAAGTCGGGCGAGCTGCGGAACGCGTCAGCCCAGGACTGAGAGGGGACAAGGGGACACGGCCAGTAACCACTGCTCACAGTCTCCCCTGCGAGCCCGCCTCCCTGCTCCCCCCCGCCGCCCCGCCACCGGAGAGCAGAAATTCCCTCGCTGACTTGCTGGTCCTTGGACTATTGTGCCCAGGCCTCCCCACATGCAGAGCCCTCCAGTCAGCGGACGACCAAGATGGCCCCGCACGAGAAACAGATGGAAGCAAAGGGACACAGAGCAGCAATGGCAGGGGGCACCAGCTCTCCACCGGCAGGAAGCTGGCCCGGAGCTCGGTCCGGTGCACCTGCCCACCCGCCCGCGCTCACCTGGATGAGGTGGAGCACCTTGTCGTGCACGATGGTGGGCGGGTTGTTCTTGGGCAGGATGGTCCTCACCAGCACACCCTCCACGAAGTCCTGGCTGGCTACCAGCAGGTGGAAGCGGTGCCCGCAGTTCTTGACGCAGGTTTCTAAAACCTGGAGGCCGGGAGGTGCCCGTGAGCACTCATCCGCGGACGGGGGGGGAAGGGGGTGTCCAGGACTCCCACCCTGGCACTCCGCCTCCATCCCAGAGGACAGGCTTAGTCCAGGCGGGGCTCCCTCAAGTGAGATCCTGGAACATGGAGAAGGGGGGACAGTGCCCTGATTTGGGGGCTGGTGTGCTGGCTAGCAGCCCCCCTGCGGGGTGGCCTCCGTGCCTAGAGAAGCCTGCTCGGATGCCGTTTCCGAGGGGGCCACAGCCTAGAGGGAAGGTAGCTCTCCGAGTAGAAACCAAAGTGAACTTTCATAATCCTATGGTGACCCCACAGCCCCAGAAAAAAAGGCACTGAACTTCCCTCCCCATTTCTGCTCCCACTTCCCGGCAGGAGGTGCCTTGCTCTTCCGGGGAGCTGGATTCACCGGCTGTAAGCCCTGCTCTCATCTCCACCCCAGCCAAGCCCCTCTGGCAGCCAGGATGCCCACTCTCGCCTGGCTTGTCCTCAGCCGCTGGCATTTGCTTTATGTTCATTTCTCAGGGCACCAAGTGCCAGTCAGCAGCACCCAGTGTGGCCTGCCAGGCTTTCTGCCCCGCCAACGCCTGGCTTCACTGAGCTTCTGTGTCACCTGGCAGGTCCTCCAGCGCAAGCTCTCCGTGTCTGGTTCTGGAGGGATGTGGGCCTCAGTGCGTCTGCTCCCCATGCCCGCGGGCTGGAGAGAACTTTTCCAAATGGTCTCTCTTGCCGCTCCGTGTCTGCTGGCACTGTAGACAGGACAGCGCTCTGCCCACAGACCTTTCCTTCCCAGCCCTTGGAAGAGGAGCCGCAGGGTGGCTGGAGTCCTGCTGGGCCTGGGGGACGTGTGGTTCTACCATGGATGGACAGACGGATGGATGGGGCACTCACCGTGAGAGCCAGCATCACCTCGTGGAAGTTCTTATTCCCTACGATTCTCTTCTTCACTGCTCGGAAGGCATCTTTGGGACTGGGCAAAAGGACAAAAGGAAGGATGGGCTGAGGAATGGAACCTTCTTATCCAACATGCGGGGCTGCCTACCTAAGATCAGGAGGCACTGGAACACGGGGATGGCTTTTACTTATCTGTGTTCCCTGTGTCCCGTTTCCTGTTGAACACACGAGTTCTAATCACAACACAAACTACTTGCACCAAAGTCCTCAGTAGATCATAAATACTTGGCAGAGATTCTCTGCGTGGACCCTGGACCCCCTGCACCAGAATCCCCTTCGGCGGGGGGAAGTGTGAGGATGTGTTAAAAATGCAAAACCCTGGGCTCCCACCCTAGACCCCTGAAGCAAGCTCTCAGGAGGCCCCCAGGGGCGCTGTGTACATACTGAGGTTTAAGAACCAATCAGCTGCCAACATAGAGTCCCAACGCCCCATCCTGGCCACTTCCTCTCTCCACCCATCCTTCTACTTGGCTAAGTAGCCACACGTGCCAGCACTGTGCGGGGTGACGCATTCCCGGGAGACCCACATCAACGTGGGAAAGAAGAGGGGCCTGCAGTCGGAGTGAGTGGGGGCCGGGGAGGGCGGCTCAGGGCAGTCGTCTCTGAGGAGGTGGCATCACAGCTGGGTGTGAAGGACGAGATGGAGCCAGCTGCGGGGAGCAGGGGAAGGGGTTCAGGCAGAGGAGGGAGGGACTGAATGGAGGCCGTGCAGGGAGGCAGAGGGAGAGGCTGAAGAGGCCCAGTGGTCACGGTAGGGAGGGTGGATACACCTAAGTGCAGGGGGAGCCCTGAAGGCCTTGGCGGCCGCCTGCTCCCCCTGCCCCCCCGCCCCCCCGCCCCCCCTGCTGCTCGTACCGCCTTGCCCTTGCATCCTGCCCTTCAGCACCGTGCAGGTGAAATCAATGTTGCCCCGACGGCTCTGGCCTAAAAGCCTTTGTGGCCCCCAACTTCCACGTCTGGCTGGTGAAGGCACAGCTAAAATCCGCCTTGCGCATGACTCTTTCCCAGTCCCCCATTTCCCTGGTGCGCACTGCCACACGGCCCCCCCACGGCCCCCCCACGGCTCCCACCGGCGCTGCCCGGCTAAAGAAGCCACCTCCCAGAGGGCGGGGATGGGGTCCCCTTTTGACACTCTGCCTCCCCAGAGGAGCACTCTCCACCCACAGGAGCATAAGCAGCATTTCCTAGGCTGGTGAGTGGCCCCTGGGGCCTGTCCTGCTGTCTGCCAGGCATCTGTCTGTACGGTGCTGACCCCGCCAAGGGCAGGTGAGGAAAGGCGGGCGGCAAGCAAGGTGGGGAAGCGCCATGGAGGCCTATCAAGGCTGTGACAGAGAGGACACGCACCATGGTCCCTGACGGGTGGGCCCCTGTCCCAGAAGTGTGAGGGCAGTTTGCAACCCAATGCCCTGGGGCCCCTCCTCACCCTCAGGACTCCTCGCCTGTGGCCACTTCAGCTAAAAGGACTTGTCCCCGCCTCTCATAGCGTGGCCCAGAGAAAGGGCATGGCATTGGGAATCAGAGGTCCCGGCTTAGGTGCCCCTCTCCCCACAAAGCACTATCAGGCTGAGGGGGACCTCGCTGGCCAACTGGATTATCCCAGTGAGAAATGGAGACGGAAGTGAGGTCTACTCTGGCTGTAGATTCTGATTTTCCGGAACACAGGCCTTGTCAGGCAGTCTTTCCCGATCACCTTGGCCTTCACACCACATCCCACCCTTCCTGGGTTTTCCTGAGAAGGACAGTGACCCTGCTTTGCCTCTCTGCTCCCCTTAGGACCTTGGGCTTATTGCTGGAAGAATCTAAAAGAGCTTTATGTCTGAGGATAAAGACCCAGGGAGGTACGGTGCCTTGCCCAAGGTCACACAGCTGGTCAATGACAGCTAGTCAGAGACCAAGAGCCCAGGGCCAGGATGCCTCCTCCACAGCACGTGCCCTGGTGTGACCTGCAGACGGGAAATGTTCAGCAAAGGCTAACGCTGATGGGCTCTCAGTTTGCTTTACTGTCACTGCCTTCTCAGTGGCCCCTGACCCAAATCTTAGGGAAATAAAAGTCTATTCTTGCCCCCAGAGAAAGCTGGGAGTCCCCCTGCCCATTCCAGCTCACAGAATGCAGAACGGTGCTTGGGGCCACGTCCCAGTGCCGGGGCTGCCAGCTGGCCTTGTCCCAGGAGGATGTGGCCCAGGTGACATTCTAAAAGATCCAGTTGGCCAGGCTGCCGCTGAGACACACGCGTGGGCTGGCATCCTCCTGGGGCGTCTCTCTCTCGTCTAACTCATGACAGGGCTGTGTGGAATCTTGGTTCCCAAATACCTAAAATGCCACACTGTTGCCTAGGGTGGGATTCAGACAACATCTGTAGCCCTCGTGGCACCAAGGACCGCCAGCGGGGTCTACCTGAGCACCACAGCAGGGGTGGGATGGGAGCGCTCCGTAGCAGAGGGCAGGCTGGGTCCCCACCCCCAGCCTCCCCTGCGGGCCTCACCCTTCCTCCGTCTCGTTGATGATGTCGCAGATCTCCATGTTGAGGGCCCAGTCCTCGCTCTGCAGGGAGCCATCTGTCGCCTTCTCTGTGGAGGAGAAACCACAAGTCACAGTGTGGGGGCGCCCAGATGGATAAACTTAGCTGTGTGCAGGTGTGTGGTGCGGGGCCAGGGCAGGAAAGAGCCAGGGAGGAGGAAGACGACAGATGCTTTCTGGGCACCCAAGAAGGAAGGGCCGGGCAGCACACAAACGGCTACCTACCTTGTCCTGTTTTGTCATTTAATGTGTTTTTTGGCTGTACTTTATCTCTGTATTATTTTTACTTTTTAAATTGTGTTAAAATGCACCTAATGTTTGCCATCTCAACCATTTTTTAGCGTACAGTTCAGTGGCATCAAATATACTCAGTGTTGTACAGCTACGCCCACCACCCTCTCCATCTTCTAAATCTGCAGCTCCCCCTTCCCCTCCTCCCCTCCGGCAGCCCTGGTAACGACCACTTTTTTTTTGTTTTTTTTTAAGATTTATTTATCTGACAGAGCACAAGCAGAGGGAGAGGGAGAAGCAGGCTCCCTGCTGAGCAGGGAGCCCGATGCGGGGCTCGATCCCAGGACCCTGGGATCATGACCTGCGCCGGAGGCAGACGCCTAACCGACTGAGCCACCCTGGCGTCCCAGCACTACACTGTCTTTGCAATTCTGACTCCCTAGAGACCTCATTATGTGGAATCGTACAGGACATGGCCATCTGCATGTTCTTGCCAAAACACAGGTGCTCGGTAAGGCGGTTCTTTTATTTTTACATTGAGGTGAAGGTCGCATCTCATAAAATTAGCCATTTTGAAGTGTACCATCCAGTGGCACTTAGTGCACTCACAGTGCTGTACAATCATGACCTCTACCTCGGTCAGGTTGGGCTGAATCAGGATAAGATTTCCAGGCCGGAGTCAGCTAGGACATTCTCGAGGCTGTCAAGGCCAGGGTCACTCCAAGTAGGCTCTACGCCCAGTGTGGAGCCCCACGTGGGGCTTGAACTCACAACCCTGAGATCAGACCTGAGCTGAGATCAAGAGTCGAATGCTTGACTGACTGAGCCACCCAGGCGCCCCACTAAATAAGCTCCACCACAGCACAAAGACAGTCTGATCCCCCGCTTTTTGGAGCCGACATTCAACCACACAAATTACCCCTGGCTGGCATGCGCTGTACCCTAGTTAGGACTCTGGGACTAGCCAGGGCTGGTCAATGTTTTTTTTTTTAAAGATTTTATTTATTTATTTGAAAGAGAGAGAAACAGCATGAGAGGGGAGAGGGCCAGAGGGAGAAGCAGGCTCCCCGCCGAGCCGGGAGCCCAATGTGGGACTTGATCCCAGGATTCCGGGATCATGACCTGAGCTGAAGGCAGTCGCTTAACCAACTGAGCCACCCAGGCACCCCAGGGCTGGTCAATGTTTTAAGGTTCAGGGAGTAAAACCCTTGGTGTCCTGACCCTGGGCTCTATCCAAGTCCCCCTCCATCACGGCCCTCTCCTCTGGCTCCCACACCTGGCCCTGCCGGCACAGTGTCCCCACCGGCCATCTGTCACATACCAATAGCGCCTGCGGGACCAGGCACGTGCAGCTCATTGTCACCCGTGACTGTACAGCCGTCCCGCACGGGAGGCCCCCTCGCTCTGTTCACACCGACAGCTGCCCCCTCACTGGCTGTATAACTGGTGCCCAGAGGGGCTGAGGCGTCCTCTGAGCCCAGGCCCTGTGACCAGGCAGGGCCCGTCCTGCGGGACAATGCCTGGGCTGGGCTGGCGGTCAGCTCCCTAGAACTGTGGCTTCTGTGATGTCGGTTTTGCAACTGGCCTGACCTCAGTTCCGCCTTAGGTCCTGCGGACAGATGGATGCTAGGGGAGCTCAGGGCACAAGCCCGGCAGCTGGGGCGTCCAGGGAGGGACCCAGCAGCAGGGCGGGGTGCTTTTCTCCCTAGACTGTGGCTGCGGGAGGGGAAGAAGAAGGCTTCCTTTAAAAGGGTTGAAAGGTGGGCTGTTTCATCCCACAATGATGTCCTGGGTGTGGCTTCTTTGTGTCACACTCCCCACCCTTGGGGACTTACACACTTACTGACCACGTGGGAAGAACTAAAGAGAGCTGGACAAGTGCCACTCTGGGCAGAGGGAGCCACGCTCCATTTTGGAGGGTCTGGGGGGACAGTGCTAATCAAACATGCGGGACCTGCTGCTCCTTCAGAAACCACACCTCGGCGACCCCCAGTCACGTGGGCCAGACTTCCGGCCACAATATTCTGCCACCTCCAGCTCCTGACTCTCCATCCTACCTGATCCTTCTCACCTTGCCGTCTGCCTCTGCTGGCCTCTTCCCCGCAGACCACGGCCTCCGCTAATCCGGCCTCGCTCCTTCCCCTCCACGCCCCCTGCTGCCCCAGACTGAACTTTCTGAACCCTGGAAGTGACCCTGCTCCTCTCGTGCCCCCAGTGCTCCAAAGGCTCCACGGCCCTCGGCCCGGCCCACATGCCCGTCCTCAGCAGCAGGGCACTCACTCCCCAGTTACAGACCAAGCGCCGTGAGCTGTTGACACGCGGACACAGCTGAATCCTCCCAACCCCGTGCAGTGTGCATCACTGCCCTCACCCAAGTGGTGAGGGAATGGGGACGCGGGGAGGTCACACAGTGGTCACCAGGGGCCAGGGAGCTCTGCCATCCCAAATGCGTCCTCCTGCCCCCTCCTCCCGGATCCCTGGCTCCAGCAGCAGGCCTTTCGATGCTTCCTCAACTGGACCCTCAGTGACCCCCGAAAAGGAGGGGCACCTCGCTTCTCCCGGGGGAGGATCCTTACCATTTTAGAAGGGATTCAGGGCATTCTGGAAAGGCAAGCGGGCTGGTAAGGGGCAGCCGGGGCATTTATAAGCCAGAGGAAGGCAGTGGCCGGGAATTGGGCGGGTGCAGGAGGACCCGGAGCACAGGAATCTGGGGACACCTGTTTTGTTTTTGTTTGGAACCACAGAAGTAACTCAGCTTTGCAATTTTGGAAAGGAGGGAGAAAAACACTGGCACTGGTCATCAGTTCCAGGAGAATGATAACCGGCTTCCCGCCCTCTGGGGCTGTGGGTTGTAACCTCCCAAGGTCCCAGGCAGCTGCTCTGCTCTCGTCCCTAGCTCCTGAGGCCGCCAGACCCTGCACCGCCCAACCGCCCAACCC